CTACACGACTGCAAATAATGCGATATCAATAACAATGAGAAGTAAATCATTCACCTTCGATTTTCCGACGATATGGTCATTATGTCGGAATTGTTAGAGTTGAAGAGTTTGGGGTAAAACGTCACCCTATCTTACACCTTTGTGTTTGTTGTGTGTTTCTGTATTCAGATAGCTACTGAAGCTCTACTGTACAAACACTACAACACCTCGATATAGCCAAAGGGAATCTGACACCGCTGAAGGGACTGTATCACCGCCTAAATTTTGACGGAATCAAACGCTTTCCTATAGTCCACAGATACAAGACAAAGTGGCAGATTGCACGTTTAGGTCTTCTGTACAATTTGTCGAAGGTTCTATGATACTAAAAGACTTTTCGGAAACCGTCTTACTTCGGATGTCTGAGAGTAAATCCATCGCTCGATACCATTCCGTGGGTATAGAGTAGAGTAAAGAGAGCCAAATCGTATAAAGGCTGTGAGGATTTTCGTCTTTGGATGTATCAACGCATCCATAACATATACACTTACCATCAGGTGGACTGTATGTTAACTTGTCAATTTAGTATCATAAAAATCCATATATTTAGTAATTAATTTCGTATGATTGGCTTTCATAAAGAGAATCCGGACGAAACGTTAATTGGTTTTTACTCAATTAACTCCAAAATTTAAATGATTTGTCCTCGTGAAATGCGAAATGTCAATAAATGATATTCATTCAATGCGGCGAACGAATTAATTAACGATATTCCTTAAGATTATCGATGCTTTTGAATTATCGATAATATTTACATATTGATGTTGTAGTATTGTATAACTCTTATTCATTTAAGGATAACATTTGTAGAGTAGTTCAAATAAAAGTGGCGAAGTATATTTTTATAAATACGCAGTAAACGGGGACAATTAACAGAACCCATGACATTAATTTCATTCATTCATTTATGGCAGTCTGTTAAAAGTTAAAGAGTACTCTATAGATTAGAGAACACTTATAATCGATTTTATATATTTTCAGATACTTGAGACATTGGGGTAGAAGGCAGGGGGAGGGATTTTGGCGCCATTTTTGGCCCGGACGGTCCCGTACCAACTATGGAGTGTAGAAGTAAGGAGTACCAACTCCCATAGTAGAATAGTTGAAAAAGTGGTCATCTGTAAGCAGTAAATAACAACTCAAAAACTCTCCACAACAGCGCTGGAGTAGCTACTGAGATGAAATGAACTTAGCAGTTGTCGCCGGTTTAAGTGTGCTGCTAATCTGATCAGTAGCTCTAAAATCTAAAATAATTTTATTTCGTAAATATAACCTCGAAAAAGTCGTCTATCCCACTAATATTTTTCGATGAGTTCTTTAAAATTTACTCCGTAGCTATAGTGGCGCCACCCTTATTTAAAGGTTTTTATAGACACTTTTTAATACACAGTCTGTACTCCTTACATCTACACTCCATAGCAGCAACTCTCAACTGACAAGTCCAACAATGCCACAAGGCATTCTTGACCAGTCTGCCTCCAAGTTAATAATTTTATTACAATTTTTGTGTAAAGTGCTGATTTACCAGCGGTGAATATAATTATCGTGATCTGGATGTTAAAAGATAATTCTGTTGTTGGAAGAATAAAATATTTCAAGGACATGTGATGTCCGTCAACACACAGTGACGCAGCGCGGCAGACTATGCTCCATTGCTCCATAACCCTCTCATATAAATATTATATGTATAACGCTGATTTTACTTTCATTTGTTATAGTAATTAATATTTAATAATATTTCATACTTTATATCTATTATACCTAAATACAATGTCGTGTCATCATGTCAAACTATCGTAGACAAAAGTAATCTACAATAAACATCGTTGATTATGAAGTTTTCACTAATAACAAATTATTTTCTCGTCTTGTTTGTTGTAGATTAGATCTGCTGCAACCCAAGTACCTACGTAAGTATCTAGCGAGACGAGTTATGACGTAGTTCATCGCTTATACTTTGTCATTAATCGCTCTCTTTCACTCACTAGTATAAAGTAGTCGATTTTATAAGTGCGAATGAGAGATCGTAACATCCATAATAGGTAAACATCCACATTTAAAGAATAGGGGTTAGGGGCTCAATTATAGGCCGGGAACGCGCGTGGTGCCGCTGCCTATGTGTGTGACTCACTTATTTGTACTGATTGGCTCATCCGGCACTCTCGGTAGATATCTCGACTGATCGACTAGTCAGTAAATACAATTTTAAATAACCTATAAGGTGTTTGTTGTACATGTTTTTTTAGGTCGCAACTTTTTGATAATACATACTCGCCATAATGTTTATGTTATGCAGACCATACCATTTATATGTTCCAGGCGCAGTTGGGAAATTGATGATATAATATAATTTGTCAAAATCTGACAAAAGTAGTTTGGGGGTTTTTGGTAGACATTGAATGGCTAAAAGCACTAACATCACGTATACAAGAGAGAGAATGGACATATTAATCACACATACAGCTAAAATATTCCCCCTCTTTTGAGCTGCGTCGTAGTCGGTTGTGTGTGCATCTTCATATATGTTCTACACATATATGTCGATGAGAAGTGTGTAACAATTAGCCAATGAACATAAACTGCCCTATTCTACATCAACAGTTGTCCGTGTTTGATTCAGTATATTTCGAGTTGCGGGCACACAAACAGTGTTTTATTTATATCTTTTTGCTCTCCGTCTCCGCATCCCTGTTAAGTGCAAATGCAAATGGGTCTCATTTCGTTACAAAGACGTTTTTATGCAACAGCCGGCTATTTGTTAATGTTTCTGCCTACTGTTTCTCTTCATTTCAAACATGTCGGATGATAAATAAATAGTACCGCACCGTCGTATCGGATGGGTTTTAGTTTTTACTGTCTATATAAAGGTTTGGTAACATTAAATGAATTGTGTTGTAGGTAATTGTAATTGGTAATTTTTTTACTGCTGTAATATGACCATCATTAGGACATAGTATCCTATATCCATGGACATAATCACCCTCTCTACAGAATTTCAGATGGCTTTTTGACAAAAATCCAAATTTACAAACTTTCGTCACTATCGCTGCCATCTGAACGTAGGCCTTTCTTATAGAGTGCCAGAAAATACAGTGCCTAGTCACCTGCTTACAGGAGCTTCCTGCATGTTTTATTTGGTCGTTACTCCACCTAGGTCGCTAAACACTGCGCTTGACATTTCAAGGCCTTCCTCAATAGTTGTCGGTTTTTCGAGAACCTTTCTTCACCGTTGGTTGCCGTTACTTAGCGCTATTTTGCCGGCCTATTGTCACTTCAGCTTACTGATCTGCTTGGCTAATGGCTATGTCAGTTATTCTTGTTCTACATCGGATATCCTTGTTACGGATTTTACAAAATTTCATATTATATAATATACAAACTATTTACTATATTTAAACGCTTTATTGTTACTATTATAAATGAAAGGATTACAAAGACGAACTAATTTAATGTCTTTTGGCATTTTCGCCCTGCCAACCCCCGGAACAAAGTATTACCAAATATTAACACTTACTGAATAAACGACAGATCTTAATATATATAAATTACGTGTCACGTTGTTTGTCCGCAATGGACTCCTAAACTACTTAACCGATTTTAATCAAATTTGCACACCGTGTGCAGTTTCGTCTGACTTGAAGGTAGGACAGTTTTTTTGCCTATGAGTGACCCACATTTTTTTTTTCGTGAATTTAAGGATTTTTAATAGGACAAAGGGTCGTCGAAATGGGCAGAACAACGTCCGCCTGGCAAGCTAGTACTATATAAATATAAAAAATATTATATTGTTTGCTTCTATTGTGCTGTGTATCTACTCATACTACTATCCCATTATACCCCCGTGGGTGTCGTAAGACGATAGAGGGAAAAGAAACAGGACAAGGGCAGGAACATATTCCTGACAACAACTTAAATGAAATGAAATAATAAAAAAACTGTCGTAGCCAACTGGTCTGCCAAGCAGTAGCAAATATCCCAATTATTAGGCAAATATGACTGATTATTAGGTTCAGCAATGGACTTATGATAGGCTTTTGATAGCTGTAAGGGATACTATTTAAATAAAATATACGTAATATTTGAGCTAAATTAGAAATAATAAACTTATTTGTACAGCTGGGTTGGGAACTTTCTCATTTTCTGTAGCAATCTTTGATAAAATCAATACCAGTAAAACATGTCAATTAGCAGAATCATTTAGATAAACTTATAGTTAGCAGAACGAAAACGTAAGTAAGTACGGGATTTTAGGTGATTGTCTTCTTGTTTGGATCAGTAAGCTATGTTGTTGACCTGCAGTTACTCCCTGCCGTCAAACCCGTTCCTCGGGAAGGTCTCGACGCGACTGCTTGGACGCTGAGCTGAGCTAGTGTCGCGCGTTGACCTCGAGTCGTAATTCGCAATAAAACAGTAAGATCGGCACTAATCCTCTATTACACTGACTGCGTCTCATCTTAATAATTTATTGCAGTAAATTTTTTTGAGAAAAAAAGGGGCCTGATATGGAAAATACTTAAAAATTAGTTATTAATTATAACGAACAAAAGAATACCCATTATATTATTCCTACATATGTGAAAGGTGACAGTGAGATATTACAAAAGTGTACTAACTTCTCCAACAAGTAGATTTCCTCGAGATGTTATTTAACGCCGAGCACAATTTCTGTGCCAGCAGCAGGGTTTGAACTCGGGTTGGTCACTGTAACATAAGTCATAAGGTGAGCGTCTAGCCACTGAGCCTTATGTGAAATCTGCCAACACGTAATCGGGCAAAGCTTTCAACTCTTCCCTGCTCCAAGAATCTCTCAGAACTGAAAGGAGGCCTGCGACCATCAGTGGGAGGTGTACGGAACTTTATACCTATTATAGGTACATCAAATAACTATTTTCTAGAGCCATATTGGAATTATAAACAATGTGAGAACTTTTTTTTAACTAAGAATTAAAATGTTCGTAAAACTATTGAATTGTATATGAAATATCTTGACGAGTTCGGTTCTCCGTTAATGAGAGATAATATCGAGGTGTCCCGTTAGTGTCGTATCTGACGTTTAAATTCCCCAGGAGCGCGGACGACTGCGCCGGCGCACGCAGCCGCATGATGCACGACACGAATAATAAACCAAGCCACTTCCTGCCGAGCGATAAGCGCTTCACACCACTGCACACACCGACACATACACACACGACAGATAACATACAAACACATAGACACTTCTAACCCGACGTAATTGTGTGTCTATGTTAGTGTCTATCATGGACTCACTCGTATTTATTTCATATATTATTTGATGTTTCAATGTCCTCTGGTTTTTACGTACGCAATATTGATCGATTCTAAGGAGTATGAGTCAGGTTGGATTTTATGTTGTTGTTAGTATCGGAATGTGAAATATAATACAAAAAGATGCGTATTTTGAGGAAATGTTTTGATTAGATAACATTATTTGATGCGTCAGATGTCATTGCATATTCGTTTTCACTACATTGAATGAATCATATTTAAAAATAAACATTATGTGTTTCTAATAGCTGCTCTGTGAAACATTGAATATAATCGATTGTAAAAATTACAAGATTAACATATTACAGTGGCAACTCAGTAAGTAGTTATTTTTATTTCATTTCAATTCCTGTTAACTAAATGACTGACGGAATTTTTTATCTAAATTCAAGAATTTCGTCGACCACAAACCAAAACAGAGGTGGTTACTTCGGTTGAAGTGGAATAATATTCCATTCCGCCTGATATCATCATGGTGGTAAACGAAAACTGAGTTGATTCAGGTGTTACTTATGCTTACATAATATATCATGTACCGAGGTGGGAGCCACTGCGGTTTATCTCTCACAAAAAGATACCTAATCTCAACGTTGATATAAGAATTTGTATTTAAAAGTAGGTATCGAATAAAATTCTTTATAGGTACTTTGTAAACTGTCCTTGTGATGAACAACATTTTGTCATTCGTATTTTATGTCTGACATATATTATTTAATCATTTTTAAATAATAGCAAGTGGATAGTGTGAATCATAAATGTTAATTCCTTAAATTTTTTTATAGCATAAGCAAACAGTCTTCCTGATGATAAGTGGATGATGTATCCCGTAGACATCTACATCTATCGTTGATTAAGTATCAAAATGCAGATTCGTTGACACTTCTGAAAACTAATATGGAATGCTTCGCTACCAGTAAAAGGGGTCTCCGGTTTTCATTAAGCTGCTTTCTCAAGCTGATGCTGCGAGAGCGTGGTCCTTTCCCGCTCCTACAATATTACTACGACCCATTCATGCTACAACAATAATATAACTGCAGCATGGCTCTACCACGCACACCGTGCCTAACAAGCTTATTGCTTAGTTCAGGAGCAGATGCAAATATATATTGTTAAAATGTTTCCTGAATAAAGAAATTATTATTATTATTAAGGGGTATCTATATAGTTTTCTCATCTGGTTGGGTTCTATAAATATATAATTATAAATGAAAATGAAAAGATAAATATACATAAATATCAATAACATAAAATAAATATAAAATTATTATTATTATTATGTGGGGTATCTATATAGTTTTCTCATCTGGTTGGGTTCTATAAATATATAATTATAAATGAAAATGAAAAGATAAATATTCATAAATATCAATAACATAAAATAAATATAAAAGTACATAAATAAGTAAAAGCCCAACCAGATGGAGGCCCTCGGCAGGGGAGACCAAACGGCCGAGGGTTAGGGGGAAAGGGAAAGAAACCGGCGGACGATGCGGGCGGTATCGAGGAGCACCGCCTTCTGCATTTGAACCTGGAGTGGTCCGCCACGTAGTCCCAGCCGCCTCAGATGACCCGAGAGGCTGACTGGGATTAGCCCGTTTGCAGAGACGACTACAGGAATAATTTCGGTCGGCAGACCACCCCACATGTCGGTCACCTCGTGAGCCAGGTCCAGATATTTTGTTTGCTTGTCTGTTTCGGCTTTCACGAGGTTCTCGTCATACGGAATGCTAATGTCGACCAAAAATATCCTTGACTGTGCCCGGTCCATCAGCACAATATCAGGCTTATTCGCAAGAATAGTCCTGTCTGTGATGATGGCCCGGTCCCAATAGAGCCTGGCGCGATCATTTTCGAGCACGGCTTCCGGCAAGTACTTGTAATACGGCAATTTCCGATCCACGAGACCGTATTTCAGAGCGAGCTCCTGGTGTAGAATTCTGGCTACTAGGTTATGCCTGTGCAAGTACTCAGAGTTAGAAAGCGCCGAACAACCGGAGATAACATGCCTAAGTGACTCACCGGGATGGCGACAAGCTCTACAGATGTCGACGGTGCCATCCTTTAGGATGTATCTCCGATAGTTGTTGGTCTTAATAACCTGATCCTGTATTGCACAGACAAAACCCTCGGTTTCCCCCGAAGAGATCACCAAAGCGTAGCCAGTGGAGGGAGGCTACTGTGTCTACGAAAGGCTCATGTAGAGCCTTGTAGAACCTCCCGTGGAGATCCTTCTCCTTCCATACGGTCTCCCGGTCGGAAATGCTCTGCACTGCCGGGTCTTGCCATTGCTCGTTGGCTAAGGATAGAGGGGTAAGTCCTTTATCACAAGAAATGACGTCCTTATAGAATGGATCATCCGATCTCGCAAGGAAGTAATCACGGAGGCTGCACACTTCGCGATTATGCATGGTGAGCGCGCTCAAGAAGCCACGACCACCATGCTTCCGCGGCAAGTACAGCCTCATTACCGACGATCTCGGATGATGCATCCTATGGGACGTCATGGTAGTGCGGACTTTTCTATCCAGGGCGTTAAGTTCAGTCTGAGTCCACCTGAGTATGCCAAAGGTATACATGAGGACAGGCATGACCCAACCGTTATATGCGTGTGCCTTATTCACACCGGACAAAAGGCTGTTAAGCACTTTGGTCAAGCGTGCATAAAACACGTCGCAAACTGACTGTTTCATACCAGCCTCATCGATACCGATGTTCTGTGACATACCCAGGTATCGGTATGTTTCAGCCTCGGAAAGGGTTCTTAAGTTGACGGGCATAGATAAGTCTATGCCCTCAGAGTTAGCAACCCTTCCCCTTTCAACATGGAGGACCGCACACTTATCCGTCCCCAGCTCCATTCTAATAGAATTGCTAAATTCACACGTGATGTTTAGCAATTCCATAAGATGGGAGCGACTGGAGGCGAATAATTTGAAGTCATCCATATAGAAAAGGTGGGTCACTTTTGTACCTCCTTTCCGAAGCTGAAATCCCCTCCCGGAGCCCTCCAGTAAAGTACTGAGAGGGTTCAAAGAGAGGCAGAACCAGATTGGACTCAGACAGTCGCCCTGGAATATACCCCTTCTTATCCTTATGCGGCTTTCCGCAGCCGTCATCCGCTCGCCTAGATGACAGAGGATCGTACTCCACTGCCCCATACACTGCTCGAGGAAGTCTCGAACTGTACAGTCAATCTTGTACAGCTCGAGGACCCTCTTTAGCCATGTATGGGGCACCGAGTCAAATGCCTTTCTGTAATCTATCCAGGCGGCGGAGAAGTTCCGACGGTTGCGTTTCACCACTTTGCCAATGACCGCGTCAATGAGGAGTGGTTCCTTGGTTCCACGACCGCCGCCCCGACATCCATTTTGAGCGCGCGACATCACCTGATTTAAGTCCAGGTGACGAGCGATTCTCGCGCTCAAAATGGATGTTAGTGTCTTGTATATGGTCGGTAGACACGTGATGGGGCGGTATTTGCTCGGGTCTGTGGCACCCTGATCTTTAGGAACCAAATGAGTGATCCCAGTAGTGAAGAGGCTTGGGAGCGACTTCTGGTTGAGAGCCTCTTGAAACTGTCGGGCGAGCACAGAGTGACACACCATGAACCCCTTCAGCCAGTAGTGATGCAGCCCGTCAAGCCCCGGACTTTTCCAGTTCGGGGCCCTACGGACCGCCTCAGCTACGTCATCCGGCGTTATGATGACGGGGTCCATGGGCGTAATACTCGCACACTGACTCGCCACAACTTCCGTCCAAGGGCCCTCGTTGTGGTTTACGGGCTCTGACCACAGGGTGCGCCAGAATGCGACCATGTCGGCCTGATTTGGTGCAGGGCCCGTTCCACTTACTATTGGTCGCTCCAATGATTCATAGAGCCTCTTCTGATCACTCTGGAAGAGACGATTCTGGTTGAACCGTGTCGACCTCTCGGTATATCGCCGAATCCGCTTTCCCCAAGCAGCTATTCTTTGCTTCAGGTCGTCTATGCGCTCCGTCAGTTTTTGCATTATATCCGGCTGGGACAAACTAACATTTGTCCCAGCAAACGCCATCCTGACGGTGGGCACAATCCTTGGCCTGGTATTGCCTGACCTGAAGCATATCAGTCTGCCGATGAGGGCCCTAGCCTTTGCGATACGTTCTTTAATTCTTATTCTCCAGGCTGGGATAGCACTACTTTGTCCAGTAGCGCGTCCAGCCGTGGAAAGTTTGGCGCCTATAATACGGCAGACTGCCAGTGCGGCGCCAAAAAGAATTGAGTCTGTATCGCAAAGGTCCCGGCTGGCTTGCAAATAGGTAACAAGCATTGGGTTCAGAGCCCTCACGACAGCCCGATTCCGCTTGCTTAGGGCTAAGCGGGGAAGTCGCGGTCGATTTTCGAGAGTCGTACTGCGCGTTTCCACAATCGCCTCTTCCAATGTACTCCTCATTTGCTCTAGTTCCAGTTCCTGGGCGACTGTTCCATCATCGTTTGAATCAACCACAACTGGCGTATTCACGGCGGCATCCACATTTGCCGTTTGCTCAGCAAGTTGTGGCGCCGCATCCTCAGCCGCAGCATTTTCACCCGATGAAGGAACAGCCTCACGTCGTAGCCGTTCGAGTTCGGTGACATCAAATGTATTTGAGCGCAAGATATACCGAACTCGGTCTGCCAGGTTTTGCTCGGTGACGGTTACAGATGGCCCCAGCTCAGCAAAAAATTGATGCATCCTTGCCCGATACGCAAAACCTCCAGTTTCTCCCCCTTTCGCCCTAAAATACGCCCGCAATGCGTTGCTGTTCATCTGGGTTGTCCAACGCATGCGGCGTACTCCACCAGTGGCGGGTGCCGATTGCTGAGCCCGCGAAGACCCTGCCGACACCAAGCCAGCTGGTGGGGATGATGGATGCGAGGATCTGCTGGGTGGTCGTGTAGCACCTCGCGCTCGGCTGGCGGTTCGCATGCTGTCGCGTCCAGCGCCAGCTCCAGACGCGCCCTGGCGACCTCCAGGCAGCGGCCCTTTGCGCGTTCCATTTGATTCCATCATCCATTTTAGGGCGTCATTTAGCGGGAGACGCCCAGACCCGGCGCCGTTTCATGGTTAGGCCATGTGCACCTTCAATTTTTGCCGAGGAACGGCACTAACACCTCTTGGCAAGGTGCTGACTGACTGCGCCGACGTAGCGGTTTTGTCACATAACCGTTATATCAGCGGGCGATGGGGTCGTCACTTCCCTACGCCATTTTATTATTATGTGGGGTATCTATATAGTTTTCTCATCTGGTTGGGATGTATAAATATATAATTATAAATGAAAATGAAAAGATAAATATACATATTAATAAAATAAATACAATAATACATAAATAAATAAAAGCCCAACCAGATGGAAGCCCTCGGCAGGGGAGACCAAACGGCCAAGGGTTAGGGGGAAAGGGAAAGAAACCGGCGGACGATGCGGGCGGTATCGAGGAGCACCGCCTTCTGCATTTGAGCCTGGAGCGGTCCGTCACGGAGTCCCAGCCGCCTCAGGTGACCAGAGAGGCTGACTGGGATTAGCCCGTTCGCAGAGACGACTACAGGAATAATTTCGGTCGGCAGACCACCCCACATGTCGGTCACCTCGTGAGCCAGGTCCAGATACTTTGACAGCTTATCTGTTTCGGCTTTCACGAGGTTCTCGTCATACGGGATGGTAATGTCGACCAAAAATATCCTTGACTGTGCCCGGTCCATCAGCACAATATCAGGCTTATTCGCAAGAATAGTCCTGTCTGTGATGATGGCCCGGTCCCAGTAGAGCCTGGCGCGGTCATTTTCGAGCACGGCTTCCGGCAAGTACTTGTAATACGGCAATTTCCGGTCCACGAGACCGTATTTCAGAGCGAGCTCCTGGTGTAGAATTCTGGCTACTAGGTTGTGCCTGTGCAAGTACTCAGAGTTAGAAAGCGCCGAACAACCGGAGATGACATGCCTAAGTGACTCACCGGGATGGCGACAAGCTCGACAGACGTCGATGGTGCCATCCTTTAGGATGTATCTCCGATAGTTGTTGGTCTTAATAACCTGATCCTGTATTGCACAGACAAAACCCTCGGTTTCCCCCGAAGAGGTCACCGAAACGCAGCCAGTTGAGGGAGGCGACTGTGTCTACGAAGGGCCCATGTAGAGACTTGTAGTACCTCCCGTGGATCTCTTTCTCCTTCCATACGGTCTCCCGGTCGGAAATGCTAAGCACTGCCGGGTCCTGCCATTGCTCGTTGGCTAAGGATAGAGGGGTAAGCCCTTTATCACTAGAAATGACGTCATTATAGAATGGATCATCCGATCTCGCCAGGAAGTAATGACGGAGGCTGCACACTTCACGATTATGCATGGTGAGCGCGCTCAGAAAGCCACGCCCACCATGCTTTCGCGGCATGTTTTATTATTATTATTATTATTACCGTTTGTCTACCTTCTAATAAAAAACAAAATGTAGATGCGTTGTTAGTTGTCAGCTCTGATCAAGAGCCCCTGACAAAGAGAAACTGAAACCGGAGATAGGAGGCGGCATCTTCCTGATAACAACTCAATTAAAATAAAAAATATGTGTGCAGTTCCACACGCGGTACCAGTAAAATCTGCAAAAAACTAAATTTTGAATGAGACGAATACAGAGTATAAAATGAGAGAATAGAGGTAATCTCTAGCAGTTATATAATTTAAATAATTTAGAATGTAGCTTACAAATCTTTAATAATGGTAATTGTATGACTCCACAAAATAATAATAATAATTGTTTACACCTGGTGCATCTGAATATACAAGGCATGATAGGCAAAGAGCTAGAAATTGAATAGCAACAATATTCATATTTTATGTATTACTGAACATTGGTTAAAAAGCTTATAACTTTTAACTAAGTTACTAACATTAAACCAATTGACTAACTTAGCTATAGCATTGTTTACTTCGTAGTAATTTAGTAAATGCCGTTTTAATTTGAAAATTAAAAAAGTATTGTATAACAATCAATCAATGGGGGTCTGTAAACGCTCACAACAATTAGGTGCTCAAACACAACACATGCTATTTCTACAGTTCGCTCATGAAACTCCGAATGTCAAATATGTTCATACCAATGTAATTTTAAATGTGGAGATTTTAATGGAGGAGCTGAGTCTTGTTGATACCACCATTTCTCTTGGTATCCCACTAGACGCAAAGCTTCAATGGGGCCCCATATATCAAAACTAGCTAGCAGACTTAGTTCTGCAGCATATGCTGTAAAAAAGATTAGAACTCTTACCAGTGTTGAAACAGCTAGACTAGTTTACTTTAGTTATTTCCATAGCATTATGTCGTATGCACAGAAATCGTAATAATAAGATAATAGAAATGAATTACTTCCAAAACCGATGTTGCCACATCTTACCGTATTATAAACATACGCAATGCACAATGATATCTAATATTCACTTTACATTGATTGGCGAGTTTTTCAACGTCGCGTGTGTCGCGTATTACGGTAGAACAAAAGCAGCAATGGTAATTGTGCAATACGAAGTCGGTGATCGCTGCCAGTTTTCACCCTCACGATCACTAAGAAATTACAGAATAGTTCTCGTCTTGGTCGTCATAATTTACGTGCACAAAAATAAAAGTAGTTTTGCAAAAATGAGTGATATGCATTCTGTAAATACTAGTAACAGACACAAGCTAGTAGTACCAGTTACTCGACTCCAGCGAGTCAGTAATTCATTCTTGGGGCGATGTATATGATTTTACAATAAAATCCCAGATATATATACAAAATTTGTCATACGCAAAGTACAAAAACTTTATTAAACAAATTTTATATAAAAAGGGTTATTATAATATTAAGGAATTTATGGACGATAATAACCCTTGGGAAGGGTGATCTCTACCAAGCTATATCTAATGTGTTTTGTGTTGTACATGATTGTACGCTATTATTTGAAAAAAATTGTTCCTCTGGGCTTCTTGCTGGTTCTTCCCAGGACAGAGGAATATTTTGCGAACCAGTAGTAAATGGAAAAAAGTGACTTTCAATAAGTTTTATTTATAATCCAAATTGAATAAAAAAAATGTTTCTGTTTCTGTTTCAGGAGTAAGATAAATTGTAGGATTTATTCATTAATATTGTTACTAAGCTTAAAATTATTTCACATTTTATTCTACATTTATTACGTACTTACGTATTAAGTATCAAAATGCTGAGACAAGACAAAATTTGTTAATTAAATAATTTAAAATATGTTAGTACTTACTTAAATATGTTCAAATTAACAAATTTCGTTCTTAATCCTTACTGTTCATAGATTGCATGAATAATATATAATCTCCATACATATTAGTAGGAAACACTGTATACTGTATTCTATTCATTAACAAGAATATTTCATCGTACGTTCATCGTTGTATCAAGAATTAAAAAAAAGTTATAGAGAGACCAGTTTTCTCAAATTTAACATGTCTTTAGATTAACGTATATTTTTTCACTGTAATGTTTTTTTTTATAAAAACCTATTTGAGTCTTATAAGCGCCATAACAGGACGAATATAAATAATAATAATATATTGTTTTAAAAGTGACGTCACCCATGATTTTTACTGACCAATTGGATTTTTACACATTCAAATATTTACCGAATTGCTAATTTAGACATATTTCATAGTTAATTTTACTGTTATTTCACCTTTCCCTCTATTTTACTCCATTCGGTAAACATTCAGAGACTATGGGTGTTGTTGAGTCTCGGTTCGTCCTCGTTTACCAGACATATGAAATGCAAGTCCATATAGGATGTTGGGTGACGCTGTTCTATAAAGCTGGCCTTTGTTTCCACCACTCGGCCTGCCGGCATGAACTGGAGTTTTTCGCATCTCGCCTCAAAAATTGATTGAATTCATTTACAATTATCCTCGATAAATAATCAAAATGTAGATGCGTTGTCACCACTGAGGTAGGGAGAGCTAATGCCTGATGGAATGTCTCGTTTCCAGTAAAAAGGGTCACCGGTTCTTTTCACTCATCATATGGTAGAGCCGACCCATTCGAGCTACAACTACTATAGCTGCAGCGTGGCTCTACCACGAAAAATACTTCTATTTTTTTAAAGAAAATAAAAGACAACTAGTTTATTTTCAAGGGTATCTTACAGATAATCCAGCTTTACTAACCAGAATTTACGCAGGTACCTTTAAAATCCAAAAAGTTTTTACCGCATTTTCACTTTTTTTTTTGTAATAAAATCTGGCTTTGATGAAATTCGTTTAACTCTCAAAATTAAGTTTGCTTAAATATTTTCCCATTCTGTTAAATAGGTTAGTTTAATAGGTGTTAAATGATCACTTAGCTACGTGGTAAATATTAATAATATTTACCACGTAGCTAAGTTATCAAAATAATCGGCTCTTGAGAGTAGTTTCAGTTTTAGGTTGTAATTTATCAGTTTTATACTACTACACTTTACGACAACAGTTTTACTACGGGTTAAGTGTAGGTGCGAAAGTTATCTCGTTAGCGCTAATTTTAGCATAGCAGTGGTTTATAACGGTGGCAAGTTGCAACTAGGTCACCTTAATTATATAAATATCCGGTAAAACCTTAAGGCATCTTAGTTCATGTTTCCCATAAAGCATGTTGACGTTGAGTGTTTGGAAGAAATTATTAACGGCCAATTTATATTCGATGCATATTTTACCTTGGAAATTCATTAACATTAGTAATCTATATTCATTACGTATCTAACGTCATTAATGTTGAATCATTGATTGGACGTTCATTTATGCACTCGGTTGAAAGGTAACAGAATTTAATTCTCAGAAATAACCGTGACTAAAATATTTGGAATTCATCGCATTTCGGGCGACGAATTTACCGAAAGATGTTTTCACAAAATTAACCTTGACTTAAATAGATAAGGCTGATGCGATTAGATGGCTTCCGTATTTAAACAGAGTACCAAGGCATTTTAGCATATTTATTAATAAAATAAATTTAAACATAAAACATAAACACTCACGCCTGTCACCCA